AGTGTTGCAGAAGCTTCTGGATGCAGCAGAAAGCTTCAGCACTGTGCGCAGCTTGTTAAGGCAGCAAAACAAAGCAGTTTGTCTCCGGGCCATGCAGAAGTAGCCAAAATACAGCCGCCATTTTGTTCCCAGCCACAAACGGGTGGGGACAACATGTTGGCCACTAGACAAAATGCTTCATTTTGCTACCTTAGAGAGGTCACCACCCACAAACTATTGTACAGAGTTTCTTAAGGCAGCAAAACAAAGCAGCTTGTCCCTGGGCTGATTGGTGGGCACCCAGAATGTTGTCGCCGTTTTGTTGATGGGACAAAACGGCTGCCATTTTTTTGAACCATGTCATGTGTCTGCACAAAGAAGGAAATCATTCCAGTGCTCTGGAAGGCCTCAGAGTTTGGCCTGCTGGTGGGAGTAGAAGAAGCCCTTTTGGGACCCAAGGCACAACAAGTGGAGCATGGGGTGACTTGGAGGTGGGGGAGGGCTTAGAACGGCAAGGGCAAGTGAGCCTGGGCCTGTACTAGACCTCCAACATCCTCCCCCACCCAGGGGGCACTCCACTTGCTCCACTTAACAACTAGAACATTGGTTTTATGTTTCATCAGAGAGAACAGGAATAGGAGGGTCATTAGGTTTCACGTGCAACATCAATGAGAGATACAACCATTATGGTTGTATCTCGAGGACCGCCTGTAAATAAAGCAGCGAACCTAATCCTCCTTCCATCTCCTATTTTTCTCTATAACAACCACCTTGTGATATGGTTGAGCTGAGACAAACTGGCCCAAAGTCACCCAACTGGCATTCATGCTTAAGGCAACACTAGTCCTTGAGGGTTTCTAGTTTGGGGCCTTAATCACTAGCCCAAACTGGCTCTATGCAACAAAGGAATTTATTGAAAGGAAAATTGGAACCCTGCACAGGTATCCCCGTTCACAGAAGTAAAATTATTTTCTTTCAAAGTTCCTTCTGCTCATCCAACGCAAAATATTTATTTCCATGAAAGAAACAATTGGCAAAAAAAAAAAAAGCTCATGACCATATTGGTTGGAAACATGCGAAAGAGGCCTTCATCTTGAAGTGGGTAGACAGCAGCTAAGATGATGATGATGATGATAAATTTTCATGCCGTAGAAGTTTATAGGAGGAAATTGTGGGTTGGGCTGCAGGCAGGGATGAGATGGCCACCCTTTAGCAAATTTCTGCCTTCCTTGTATTCACTCCTGAGCCTAGTCATTGGGTGCTGAGTGGCTGCTAATCAAGACCAGATGCTATTGAACACCAATTTGGTGTATAAAATAGTATTGTTCTTTGACATGATCTGACGGTGGATAAAACAACTGACTGGCATCTATAAGCAAGACCTGGTTGTGCCCTGAGAGAGATGTTCCTTTCTCAGAAATGGGCCCACTTGGGCACTGAGTTTGGCATCATCCCAAATTGGAGGTGGGGAGCTATTCCCATCCAGAAAGTCCTGTTGGTTTTCAAAGACTGCTCTGCAAACAAGTAGAAATGAGACTTTCATTGAAATTGGGGAGCTGGTGGGTAAGTTGCTGCCCCTGCATGATATAGTGTTCAAAGCATTTCAGGAGTTCATGACACCATGTGACTGATGCTGGTCATCAACACACTGGTAGTCAAAGATTAGATCAGTATTTTATCTTAGGTTCATCGTGACACAATCCATTCCTGACATATGAACTTGGCAGGAGCCCACTTGGAAATGCATATTTGGTAAAACCTTTGTTCAGATCTTCATATTAGTCAACAAAGCAGCCAAAATACTATTGATCAGATAAATCCCAGCAGAAAAAGTTTGATCTTTAATCATTTCCATGGTTTTCTGACAATTTTCATTTTGCTTTTTCAAGGCTATAATGGGCAAGAGAGTAAGAATTGCAAGGAGGAATGCCAAGCGATCCATTCGAAAGGCAGAAAAGGGAAATTTTCAGATCAGATGCAACCAAAGAGTGATGAAACAAAGCAATCACAATGTGGAATTAAAAAAGGCTTTCCTCGGGTCAGTCAACTTTCTAACCATACAATCACTGATATGGAAGAAAGATCATATCAAAGCATGGAGTGTGGAAAGAACTTTAATACATCAGATCATTTGATTTTCCATAACCAAACACATTCAGAAGAGAAACCAAATACCTGCAGGGAGTGTGGAAAGATCATCTGTGATAATCACTCCCTTAGAAGACATCAAAGGAATCACAAAGGACAAAGACCTTATAAATGCATGGAGTATGGAAAGATTTTTCCTCATAGCAGTAGTCTTAATACCCACAAGAGGAACCACACAGGAGGGAAGCCATATCAATGCATGGAATGTGGAAAGACCTTTACTCGTAGGACTACTCTTAATTCCCACAAGAGGATCTACACAGGAGAGAAGCCATATCAGTGCGTGGAGTGTGGGAAGAGCTTTAGTTCTAGTAGTAGTCTTACTTACCACAAGAGGATCCACACAGGAGAGAACCCATATCAATATATGGAGTGTGGAAAGAGCTTTAGTTGTAGTAGTAGTCTTACTTTCCACAAGTGGATCCACACAGGAAGGAAGCCATATAAATGTGTGGAATGTGGAAAGGGTTTTAGGAAGAATTGTGATCTTACTTGCCATAAAAGAGTGCACTTGGGGGGAAAGCCATATCAGTGTAGCGAGTGTGGGAAGACATTTACTCAGGATAGAAATCTTACTTCTCATAAAAGGATCCATAAAGGAGAGAAGCCATATACATGCATGGAATGTGGGAAGAGCTTTACCAGAAGTAATTCTCTGATTGACCATAAAGCTGTCCCCACTCAGGGGAGAAATTATATCAATGCTGGGAGTGTGGGAAGAGTTTTAGATACAGAGGTGATCTTACTAGACATAAAAAGATTCTCAACTCGGGGGAGAATCCCTGTCAATCCAGGGAGCGTGGAAGGAGCTGTGACAATGGGTCCCTTGTAGAACGGAAAAGTATCCACACAAGGAGAAAAAAAAATCTAACTATGTGGAATGGGATTTAGGAGGAGTTGTATTCTTATTTTCTACAGAGGAAAGCAGCCCTATCAATGCACGGAGTGCAGGAAGAGCTTCAACACAAATAGTCTAAAAATCTCATGCAAGGGTCCGTGTGAATAATAATTCAAATAAATACCAAACCTACTTTGATATGCCCGCACAAATTACCTTTCTAATCCAGATCAGAACGGGATGAATCCTAAATCATAATTGTGGTTTTTGCTAAGTAGGAGGTTGTGAAGAAAAAGTAACAGTGGGGATTAAGGGAATTTAACTGCCCTGCCAGCAATGTGTCCTGCCCATTAGTTAATAATTGCAGATTCCCCAATTGTTTGTTGGAATTCCCATCTGAACAATATACCCCTAATGTGTCTCAGAATTAGTTGATCAGCATTTCTCCCTTTAGACAAGATGTGTATAATCATCCCTTTCTAGAGTTCAAGATGTTCTTCCTTAATCTTGTTACAATCTAGGTTTTCCACCCTTGCTTCTCATGAAACCAAACTACAGCAAAAGCCAGGGAAGAAATTTTATTGATCCTGAATTGGAAGAAGCAAGTCAGAGGCGGTCTCCTATCTTTTGGTTGTTGTTTTTTCTTCCTTCCTTCCCTTGTTTTGCTTTATGTAAGAGTGAAGAAAGGATTTAAAGTATGTTGAGATCACAGTCAAGCGTCAGCTGAGGAAAGGGATTTTTGGAAACTGGAAATTAAGTTAGGACAATCACTCCAGGAATGGTGGTAAATATCCACATTTGAAAGGGAATAGGAATAATTACTTCATGGGGATGAAAGTTACTAAATTTGAACTGGGAACGTATCACAGAATCCTCACCACAAACCTGTATAAATATATGGATATGGAAGAAACTTCAGAGGAAGAACTCTGAAAAGAACTATGATTTAGAAGTCCAACAGATGGACATGCAAAGGCTTTTCTCCAGTGAAATTCCCAAATTCTGATTTTTCTCCAGAGTGCTAAGGACCCAGACAAAGATTAAAATAGATTTTCTTTTTTACATTTACCTAAAACCTTAGATTAAATTAATTAAATAATATTGATATGATTATTTTTGAGTCCTATAGTTAATGAACTTTGGGTCGATTGCAAATTATGAACATGAGGCATTTGGAGGGGCCTACGTGAGAGTTTTGGAATCTCGTGCTAGCTTGAAAAGGCTACTTAACAGACGAGCAAGTGGAGAAGCTGAGAGGAAACTAATTTGCCCAAAGACCTAAATTTACAGCAGGAGACAAGAACCCCAAGTCTCAGATCCTATCTTGATACCCTCAATGACATCATCCTTCCTCAATCTGAACACTCGTATCTGGTGCCAGGGTTCTCTTTGACTGATAGCTTCTATTCCAAGGGTGTCAAACTCGATTTCATTGAGGGCTGCATCAGAGTTGTGTTTGATTGGAGGGGGACAGAGTGGATGTCTGTCACATGTGTCGGGGCACCTGTGATGGCCCAAGTGCACTGCCAATGAAAATGGGCTCCCAAGCTCTGTCACACCCCTGTTGGAATCTGATTCCAAGGGGGAGGTCGAACAGCTGACATGGAGTGGGAGTGTGGCTGTGAAGGAAACGGGAAGGGCACAGTCCGGCTGGGCAATCAGGAAGACCCAGGCCCACCCCTTCTTCATCCTACGGCATGCAGGGAGGAACGGATAAAGGAGCAACATGGGTTACGGGGGAGAAAAAGGCCCTGATTCCCTTCATTAGCTGCAGCTGGGAAAACAGGATATAAAGGGTGTTGTGTGCACAGCACCTTGCTGGAAGCAAAGCATGCATTATCTTTGTCAAGTCTTATCTGAGTTCTGGTGTCCTCCCAATTCTGTGTGTTTCTTTATCTTTTGAAGTCTGCAATTCCTTATCCTGCCCTGTCTCGTTAATTGCTGCAGCGTGGTTTGTGTTGGTTTTTATAATTTATATGTACTTTGCGTTCAGACTGGATTTCTTCCCTTTCAAAACTGTTCTTGGGAGAGTTTTTTCTCCAGTCGATGATAACTGGACATTGGGGGCCAAGTTGGAGGTATTAAATGGACTTTACCTACTTTTGTGACTTTGTTGCTTTTGTGCCACGCCTCGGGTCATCACACTGTTTTTGGCTGCAATGGCCTCCTGCAACCCTCTGCCACCTATAATGGATCTCGAGCTCCATTTTCTCTGGCAGAAGCACTGTGGGCCACTCCTACGCTGTTCCCAGGGCCCCGCGGGCCAGATCTAAGCACCCCACGGGCTGGTTCTGGGCCCCGGGCCCTGAGTTTGACACCCTCGTTATATTCCATTTGAAGTCATGGCCCTTTTTCTCCCACTGGGATGAAAACATTGTCTGGCAGATCCCAGAAAGGGGAAAGAAGGCCCGCAACAGCTGGAACTTGAACCCAGGTTCCAAGATTGGGAACCATATATGATGACCTTGTATCCATGGCACAGTTATTTTGAGATCCTGTCTTAAATTCTATGTCTTCATTCTTTCCCCTGCCTCTGAGATTTGGATGGGCACCAAACACTTAAGGAATAATGTGCTTTTAACCCATCTGATGCTGCAGACACCAGGATGGCATGGAGGCAGGGGTGAGATTCAACCGGTGTAATAACCGGTTCGGTGAGTGCACACTTTGCGTGCATGTGCAGCGTTTGAAAATCATCTTTTCCTGCAAGCCCTGTGTGCAGGGCGCACACAGCAATCAGCTGTGCCGTGCAAAGCAGCTGAAGTTGAAAACACAAGAAATAAAGGACAGCCTAGAGCCTGGGCGGGTGGGTGGGCCAAACAGAAGACCAGAAGATCGTTCGAGCGAATCGGTTCCCTCTCAGCTGATCTTCGGAACTACCAGTTCGGCAGAACCGGGCAGAACCAGTAGAATTCCACCTCTGGATGGAGGGCAAAATATATGGGTTTGGTCGTTGAAATCTATACCGATAATAGATAATCAGAATTGGAAGGGACCTTGTAGGTCATCTAGTTCAATCCCCTGCCCAAGCAGGAGACCTTACACCATTTTTGACAGATGGAAATGCAATCTCTTCTTGAAAGTCTGAAGTGATGCTGCCACAACTTCCGAGGGCAACTTCTGTTCCATTGGTTGATTGTTCTGTCAGAAAGTTTCTCCTTATTTCCAGGTTAAATCTCTCCTTGTTCGGTTTCCATCCATTGTTATTTGTCTGGCCTACAGGTGCTTTAGAAAATAGCTGGATCTTTTCCTCTCTGTGGCAGCCCCTCAAATATTGGAAGACTGCTATCCTGTCTCCCCTGGTCCTTCTCTTCACTAGACCAGCCAAGCCCAGTTCCTGTAACCGTTCTTCATATGTTTTAGTCTCCAGTCCCCTAATCATCCTGGTTGCTCTTCTGTGTACTTTTTCTAGTCTCAACTTCTTTTTTTTATAGTGTGGTGACCAAAACTGGATGCAGTACTCTAGGTGTGTGGTCTTACCACATCTATGGTTGCTGTGCTGTAGTGGTTATCAAACTTAGCTAATGCGCAAAAGTTTCCTGGTTTGAAACCAGGCAGAAACGCACCTTTTCTCTGCATCGCAGCCATTCCAAGCTCCAAGCAAGTACAGGAAATGGCCGCCTTCCAATCCAATGTGGAAAAGGAGGTCCCAGAATTTCCTCATTCTGAGAGCTTCCATTTTGGGAGGATGCTGTGGGGATTGGCTTTCTTCATCCCCTGCTTGATGGGAGTGGGGAGGTCCTCTTCTTCCTTGTTGGAGGCTCTGGGCATCAGCTTTGGACCAAAATGCCCCCTTACCTCTGGGGTGTTGGGGAAAGTGTATAAGCCTATTGTCCTCTAGGCCAGGGGTCCCCAACCACCGGTCCCCGGACCGGTAGCGGTCCGTGGTTCATTTTTTACCGGGCCTCAAAGCTTGGGTGCCGCCATCTTGTTTCGATGGCGCTTCCGGGTTTTTGGTTGGAAAGCGGCGTTTGGGTGCTCACGCCTTAGTTTCATCGAAGGGGGGGGGCGGCTTCGAATGAAGAGCTGTCCCGATGGCGGTGGAGTCTCGCATTACTCAGGTACCGGTCCATGGAAGAATAAATAATCGTGAAACCGGTCCCTGGTTCAAAAAAGGTTGGGGGCCACTGCTCTAGGCCACCAGAGAGATACCACGTGCAGCAAGTCAGCCTGGAAGGTAGAAAGTCTAACAACCTGGGCATCGATGGGTGCTGTGAGAAAGTTTTGAGGAAGTGTCTCCATTCCTCCCGGCCCTTCTACCTGAAAAGCCTGGGTGGTGGGGCAGGGGTCTCTCTGCAGGCCACCCACAGTTGGGGGCTTCCAAGCAGGGAGAAAGTGAAAGTCTCAAAGGAAGGGACGCGCCTGCTTCCTTGCAAACCTTCCCGCTTGCAGAACCTGAGCCTGGAGCTGATGCCCCTTCTAAGAAGAAGCTGGAGAGATGAAAGCCACCTCATCCTTCCCTGGTGGTCTAGTGGTCAGGATTCAGCGCTTTCACCGCTGCGGCCCAGGTTCGATTCCCGGCCAGGGAAAGCTTTTACTTCCAAGCCTTCAAGCATCCTGCAGGTGGAGTTTTCAGGGAGGCTTGTTTTCATTGGCCAGAAAATTGCCCTGCCCCTCCTTTCTCTTTCCTCCCTATCCCAACTCCACCCTCTGATCCTAGTAGGATTGATGGCCTCCATGCAACCAGCCTGCCTTGGACCTTCAAAAAAGGCAGTTGATTACTGCAGGTATTTCCTTCCTTGTTTTTCTCTGAAGACGTTTTCGCTTCTCATCCAAGAAGCTTCTTCAGCTCTGATTGGACAATGGGGAATGGATGGATTTATATTCCTTGCAGACAGCTGGTCCTTTGCATTCTTTTTAGAGAGTCATTGATGCCACTTGGAGCTTTGTCTGTGTCTTCAGGGTCACAGAGGTGGAGGCAGGCAACATCCCCTATCTCCAATCTACAACACAATCCTTTCAACAATTCCAAGGAGGCTCCCCACCTATTTGCACTAATTGGGTGACCTTGGGGACATTAACAAACCTCCAAGTGGCATCAATGACTCTTTAAAAGAATGCAAACGACCAGCTGTCTGCAAGGGATA